TGCAACCTTGTGGGCAGTGGCTATTGTCGGGCCTAGGGCCGGCTTTAGAATGGAGAAGTAGGGCGACTCCTTCCCTCCACTAGCCCGGGTGTTCAGAGTTGGGGCTGTGAACTCTGATAGCATTTGCTATCCTACCCGTAGCCCCCCGTGTCAGGGTACGACAATGGCGGTTCTGGCTACCAACTCGACACCAGCTCCGGCACTCGGCAGTGATGTCTTCGTCAACTCGGCAACATCGCTGGCACCCGGCATGAATGCACTGTCAACTCGGCAACATCCATGGCAAAAAAGCAACAGAAGCATCATGCAGTCGTCTCAACTTTGTTGTGCCACTGGTTGACGTGATCTTCTGCCAAGGGACACTATCGTGCACCGTTTAGTGTCGTCATCGTAGGTGCAGCCTCACTCAAATAAAATGATGGAAGCAGATTTGAATTTAACCGACCAAGCTACCGCATCCGGGGCAACCGATGCGCCACAGGTCACGGCCGTGGTGAAAAAGAAGCGAAATCCGTGCAAATCACTCTATCTAAAGCTCGGAATGTAAGAACGACAAATGACAGCGATGCTTCGATCAGACCAGAACGCGCGACAGCCATTATATGTAAAGAACTCGAAAAGTCGTCAATCGATATTTGTGCACGAAGTGAAGTTCGTCGACCTGGAACAGGGAACCTTGTGGAGAAAAGTCATACAATCTTTTGGAGTGGGAGTGACAAGAAAGAAGCTGGTGTTGGCTTTGCGATACGCAACAAACTTCTTATCCAATCCGATCTGAACCCAATCCCTATAAACGATCGTCTCTCAACACTGCGAGTATTGTTAAAAGATAACGATTATTTGACGCTCATCAGTGTGTATGGACCCACCATGCAAAGAAGTCAAGAGGAAAAAGAACAGTTTTATGAACAGTTAGGTGATTGCTTAGAGAATGCTAGAAACGACAGAATAATTGTGCTTGGTGATCTAAATGCCCGTGTTGGAAAAGATTGGTCATCTTGGCCCTCCATAATCGGTAAACATGGTATTGGAAATATGAACTCCAACGGTCTAATGTTGCTTGAATTTTGCGCCAGACACCAATTATCTGTCATGGGAACCATGTTTCAATTGAAAGACTCTTTAAAAACCACTTGGCAGCATCCACGATCGAAACATTACCACCAAATCGATCATGTACTTGCCAATCCTCGTGCAAAACAATTCATCAATGTCACCAAAATCGACCCAAATGCTGATTGTCTCACGGATCATAAGTTGTTAACGTCAAGCTGCAACTTCCGAATTCATCGTAGAGAGAAAGGGACAAAGCCTCCTAAAAAGTTCGACATCACATTGACGCCAGGGAAGAAGCAACGCCTGCAATCGTTTCTTGATGAGAATCTACCGAATTGTAGACAAGACTGGGAAGAATTTAAAACGATTTTACAAGAAGCAGCAAAACACACCTTTGATCAAAAGAAAAAAGTAGCAAATACGCCGTTAGACACAGGGCTTTTACCAAGCTTTGTTCTCTCTCTCGCCAGTGTCAAGTTCCTCTCTCGCTTAATGGAGGGCGAGGATTATCAATGGAGCTGCTCAAGTTTCTCAACTCTTGAGGTATCGTCAACAGCAGCTCGATTGCATTGAGGAGTTCGATCACAACAGGCTGCCAAGGCGAATGTTTCTCCACCATCTCCCTTTTTTTTATCAGATCGTGAGATGACGGGAGAAGTTCGCCGTCATTTGGAACGAGACTAGTGAATCTCGACCTTGTGCCTAAGGACCATAGACTTTGTTGACTGTTGCAGTAAACAACTCCTCGGTGAATCCTATGGCACTGGCATATCGTTCAGCTCTCTACAGTTGTACGACCAATTGAGAGTTTTTCGGTTGCTATTATTCGTTCCACGCAAATTCGTTCCCCCGATTCCAAAGCGTCTTTCGTGTTAAGGAAGTCGTTTTACTCTCTCGTCGTGTGCGTACACAAGCAATTCATAATGTATA